ACGACAAAGCGACTGGTGCAGACGACATACCAAGCTTCTGAAATTTTTATTGTCCAAAACAATTTGGTGCCTTCTGGCTAAAGAGCCTGCTCATCCAAATCATATGCAGTAGGAGCATGTCTCGTGACCGGTATACCAGCAAGATTCCGACATGAAAGAAGGAACATCGCGGAGCGCATCCCACCGGTCATTGATGAGACACACTGTAGAGGTCTTCGAAGGAATGATTGTAATGTAGCTTCGACATCGTGGAGCTCTCAGCGGATCAGGCGGATTTTTGAAAGCAGTGAGTACCCTAAATTCACGAGTATAAGCGCGGGGGATTTTTCTCTAAAATCGAACAGTACAGACAAGCCGAAGGATTTCGCGACCAGAAAAACTACATACAGTGCTGCATATTGTCTGAGAGTATCATGCGGCAATCGCTTTCCAAAGTAGAACGAGATGGCTGAGCGGCTCACTTAAAGGCACCTTACACCCTAAGGTGAGGGTGCGAGAAAATCTCTTCGGAACAGCAAAGATGCATGAGGACCCCCATCCATGCCCGCCCATTTGTGCGCGCCCATCCAATCACCGTTCCGGAAAACCGGCCTATGGGTCCTCCGGAACGGGGATTGTCGGGAAAACGAGCATTCTCGACTTCACGGAATCAGGGACATGAGAAGGCCCTGAAACGACAAAAACGGGGAAGTCGAAAATCTGGGTGGACGGTGCCTTTGAAAAATCGAAAAAGGTGCCTCCTATACTCGTGAAATTAGATGCAATGGACGCCATCCGCTCCGCTCAGATTATAGTGGAGGATTTAGAGAGAGGCGGACGTGATGAAGACAGCTTTCTTGCACCTGCAGAAGCCTTTGAAAAGGTGTCAGGTCATGTGTTGGGCCTTGCGAAAACGAATGTTGCCAAAAAAGTACGTCCACTGGGTACTAATCTACCTTACGTTTTGAGATTGAATCAGGCTTCGCAGCGTGATTGGCGTACGCGGTGTACGCAACGTACGCTGTGTATAAAGTTACGGAGCGAACGCTGCGTACGTCGCGCAGTCTGTCCCAACCTTTGAGTCGAGTACAAACACCTGCACGGCAGTTGAATGTCTTCAAATCAAGATTGGGGCACACCAGGGTTCATCTTTTCCCTGCTCTTCATCACAGTAATGAATGCATGATAGAACTGCCTTGCACTTCTTTGGACACTTCTCTAGGCAGATGATATGCCCTTGACAGCAAGCAGCAGAAAGGACTTAGAAGCTGAAGCACGTAGTTGGACCACAAGATCCATAAACATTGATGGCAAAAAGCTGGAGAAGACATTATATAAGTGCCTAGTCAGTCCCATCTCAGCGAAAGGAAGCTTACAGGAGGTTGCAGGCGCAACAGCGTGGATGAAATGTAGATCCTCAGCATGAGTTCTGTGTTACAGGCGAATACAAGTACAGCTCACGTTATCAGAATTTTGAGTTTTGAAAATCTTAGTAATTATTTTAATTATTTAGAAATATAGAGAATTCATCTGCACATTTTTATAACTCGTGTAAGTAACTTTTAAAATTTTTATCGCCCTCTTCTTCGGTGGAACTCAGTGGTGTCACGTGGGTCCTCGTTTCCTCATGTTTGTTTGCATTCTTACTATAATACTTCTCCCCGCTTCTCAAAGAAACTCGCTAATTCAATTATGCTCATAACCGTCCTCTTCGTTATATAAGAGAGCTTGTTATTGTAAAAACAGAATACCTGTTTGAGTTGGACTCTACACTACTCTGCGCGTCATGAATCTGTGTTGATGTCAACCGCACACGAGTTCTCCGTTATAGTAAACGCCCAGGCCCAAAACTTGTAGGTCAAACACCACATTTGAGTTTGGCCAGTCAATCAGAAGCTCCTTTCAATCTCAAGACGATCGTCTTTATCTCATTGCTTACTTCCTATAGGGAAACCGAGGTTACCGTGGCCTTTTCACTTGAAACGTAAAGGATGTCCAACGACGACTGCCCTGAGCATGCGTTTCTGGATCGCTTCCAGCTCTACAGTACAGTATTACATGGCTCGTAGGATCACTTGCTCCGCAACTTGTCGTCCTGTGAACTTCTTAGACTTCCATTCAATCTCTACTTTTTTCTCCTGTAGCATCGCATCTCTGATGCGTTTTGTTTTAATCACATGCTCCTGCAGCGAGACGACATGTTGCATCTCGTCGCTTTGGAAGTAAATTAGGAAGTCGGATAGTGGATTACCTAATTTTGAGCTCGTTTTTTTGGTATTCGACCTTCGAGGTAATGACTATGTTAAAGTTCCCTTTTACAATCGTCTATTAGAAAATGAGCCCTGACTTCAAGAACGTTCAAGCGATTTTGGTTCATTGACATGACTTCAGGTTGGAAAAAACAACTCAAAGGACGATGAGGTTACTGGCCATGTGGTCCCGATGCGGACAACACCTGTAGAGCTGTAACCAATCCAAAACCGCGCGCGGTAATGGTGTGAATATATTCATCGAGGCAGTTGTCGTTGGACATGGTTCATAGCGAAACCTTTGTCTCAAAACGCTGATCTCTTCTGCCAAGCGGTTCTCTGATGCTAATGGAGGCTACGTTCGTTTTTGCAAATGAGATTTGTACGGACAGTCAAAATCATCACTGTTGGAACTCGCCTATTTATGAGATGGAACATCATCGACGATAATCCGTCAATGAATCCAGATTGACTGGTTCAAGTAAAAGACAAAGGCGAGAATCTCTGAATGCCATTTTGACACGAATGTGCAACTTTTTCAGCGAACAAATCTTCATAACTTCCTCCAGTAAATAATTTTGCAGAAAACGAACATAGATTTGAGATCAGCCTTCCGAGACGACTTTTCCATATACATCTTATATTGGAAGGGCACAATGGGCTCGGGTACCTCCATTGGAATACAAGAATGATATATGACTTCTAGCTTGTTCTGCTTCAGCATCGAGAGAAAAAACTCGTTTCTCCTGTTTGCGCTTCTCTGTACGACAAAGGACATACGCAGTTTCTGCAAATTGTCCTTTTCCTTTTTATTTTGAGTATGGGGCAAAACTATACCACGCTACCCTTATTCAAATCACTTTTTCTACGGTTTGCACATCCTGGTCACACTGAACCCTTCCTTCATCGATAGAGCAAGGTAAGTTCTCCAAAGAGGTATCCAGATTCGTACAAAGCTAGTTCTTCTTTTAGTTTGACAAAATCTGAACATTTCCGGAAGCCCTAAGACTCGATAAGAAACCAGAACTCTGCTCAAAAAATTTCTAGGACTCTCTAACTTCTTCACAAATTAATTCTCATTTGACATTCAAATGCATAGTTGCTATATTTTTTCCAGGACCAGGACCAGAAAAGGGAAAACAAAAATAGGCCAAAAAGCTTGCAGCTTACTTCAGCCTTACTAAGGTTTTTCTTGGAAAACTTATCTTAAGTTTTCCAAAGAAGCACTTTTGTGAAACTGAAATGCCCTGCAAGCTTTTTCTATTTTTTTTTTGAAAATTTGGAGAACTTTTCCAAAACAAAGGTCAAGATTTTGACGCTCAAGGGCAACGTTTATCCAAAATTGAGGCTCCATTTTTTTATCCTGTTCTTGAGCCTTTGTATGCTCTTATTTGGGATTTGATGTGCGGAGCATATGAAGACTCCGTAACTGCCCTTCCGGAAACCCTATTTGGCTAGCAGAAGTATTCAGGGGCTAACCCCATTGTATGCAACGATGTTGAAGAGCAGTCTGTAGTTGAGCGGAGCGAGGAAAAGGGGCGAAGAATCCAGAAAAGAGAGTCCACTTTCTCATTTTCACATTCAGGGACAATTGCTTTGCTTCAACGACGTGCCTACAGACTGCCTACTAATCTGTCTGAAAAACACGAATCTTGGGTGGACTTTCGAAAATTTTGGCATACGTTTCGAGTTTTTTTACTCAGAGTTTGCCTGATTCTCTTTAAATGAAATATTTGACGTGAATCTAGGCTGTACGTCTGCTGGATTTCCTGGATTCTACTCAACAGCACTTGCGTATCAATGAGGTTCAACTGGAAATCTATTTTAGCAATGAAACATAAAATTGTCGAAATTTTGAAATTTTTATGAAAAGTCTCCCGCAGTATTTTTAGAAAAGGGCCCTATCGTATGAACTCTTACACATATGTAGTTTTAGATGGTATAGTCGTATCTTTGGTAATTATTGAGAAATCGCTGTTGCGATTGTCTGTCGTAAATTTTCACGAAAGCCCATGGTTAAGCGAATCAGAATGATAATTGAATTGGCAACAAGTTTCCAACTTGTCCAGACTCTTTTTCCAGTAGTTTTTGGGTCTCATTTGCCTAAATCCTTCATTTTTTACGGTAGTCCTACAGTTTGGAGAGATTAATAATAATAGATAATTTATTCTTTTATAAAATTCGTACAAATCCAGAAGCGCCTTTTCCGCCCAAACTTGTAAAGAGGAAAATATCGGTGAAACCGATGTATAACCTAAATGATGTGTATTATAATTGAGTAGGGAGGGTTCATAATATGTTCATTTTTGGAAGGAATATGACGTTTTTGAGTTGATCTCTGAAAATATAAGACAAGGAACAGGAAACTGTCCAGTACCTTGTGATATTTCTTATGTGTTATGTAAGGTGTTTACCATCGATAGCGTAAGTTACTGGTTAGAAGGATCTTGTCAATAAGGTCTACTATTACACAGAAGGCATGCGCCAAACTTCAAAAAATCATCTGAGTCATGATCTGCCTACATTTAGAGTAGAGTCATCAGCCAAATTATGCCTCTTCTTGATTTGCAATCACTTACAGTGCATGTGTAATTCTATTTTCTAAGCCTAGTATATATAGCCTTCTTGACTCCGCATTGTCTCCATTCAGGCATCAGTTACCATTACCTTCCGTTTTTTTCAAATTTGATGTTTATCTCATCTTGCATTCACGCTCACTGTTCCGTATTAGGCAATTTTGATGTAACTCTATTATCTAACGAACCAATCTATTCAGAAAAATGCTCGGAATGATGAATTCTCCCAATGACGCGGTTGAGTTCTACGCTACCAACCAGAACTTACAAACGACTATGTGCGAAGAAGATCTGAAAGCTTTCACAGAAGCTAAGAAAAGACCAAAGATCACCTACACGAAAGGTTTGTTCTCATTGGTGTCACATTTCTGTATAGAAATATATTAAAAAATTGGCAACATACAGAGCATTAGCCTAAACTTTGCATGCGTATTCTACTTTTTGCTTTCACGTTGGGAGAAAAGTGATCTGATTCTTTAGAGAACGATGCTTTTTCACGTCTAACGCAGCATAATTATAAAAATAAAGGTGTTAACTCCCCATATAGGGACTTCCCTCTACTCAAATTTATACGGTTTCTAGGTTTGACAAAACGAATTTTCTATTTTTTCCGCCACACCGCAAGACAAACTGAATACTCCTAAATTAAAACCGAAGGCATTAGCATCAAATAAATAGTTTTTTTGGATAAATTTGGGGAACTCGACGAGCGGATTGTAATTGAAATACAACGTTGTGTAAGAATTTTGAGCTGCAGAATTACAAAATATTATCAATGCGTTTTTAGACACACATAAAGTTTGCTACCAAGAATTTTTTCACTTTTGGTCTTAGCTGGGATTACTTAGCATTCGAGAAAATTACATTTATTAAAAGCGCTTAACAAAAAAAGTTGGGTTTTTTTTCAACATTCACGAAAAAGGAGGAGTTTGAAATGAAGTTCTAAAAATTAAATTCTAAATAATGAGCTACCAACTTTGAAATTTAAATCTTTCTTGAAGGTGACAATTTTTCAAATAGTTTTCCTGACTTATTTACTGCATATGTCCACTTCAAATTATTTGGACTTTCCAAGAAGTTAGGCACACTAATTTATACTAATTTTACGCATCACTGATTGCGTATTAGTCATCTATCGGTAAACCATCGAACTACAGGGATTGATGTCATGTTTCCATTTAGTGTAAAAAATGTGTAAGATGTATGTGTTTAGACGGTCGTCGCATGATTGATGGAAAGATCGAAGACGCCGAATCAAGCACACCGCTGAACATGTGGGGAAATGCGCTGATGAATGGAGTAGTCAAATCCGCTCTCAAAATGCAAAAAGAGGACGAAGAAGGTACCGAGACTGAAGGAGATAAGGAAGAGACTGCTGAAAAGAAATCAGAAGCAAAAGAAGTAGCACCAAACGGTGAGTCGACGTTCTCCTTTCCTTTCTGAATCCTGAAAATTCGAAACAATGAAAATACACAGGGGGCAACTAGATACAACGACAAATTCTTAACCGTCAAAATTCTTCTTCGCTTGGAAACTTCTCAGCCAACCACGGTAAAGGGCAGATTTAGATTTAACGGCAATGCGATTGTATGACCCAAAGCTTGGCCACTTAATATTTGGCGGCAAAAAAGCCTAAATATAAATCCAATCACCTCATAAAATTCATACTTTAGGCCTCTACAGATCTGCAAAGAAAAAGCCCAAAGTTGAGAGTCCATCTAATGTTTCTCAAGCATCGGGTTGATTTCAACACAAAACATTCGTAATCTGACTTGATACTTATTGTTAGCACATTGACGACAACGTGAGCCACATGGTGGGTCATGGCTTGAATTTTGTTGAAATGACTGCTATCTTGAACTACATTCGTTTCGTTCTCTTACACTCTGACCCTAGAAACATGCTTTTGCGTTTCTCGCCCGCCTCATAGAATTACTGTAGTTATACTGTAGTTGACCCTCTTGATGATTTTAGCTAAAATATTTTTGACTTATCCATGGATGACATTGTCTCACGAGGCAAATAACTAAAAATGCACGTTGTCGTGAACGTGTTAGTTTTAGTGGAGACCAAGAAGTTTCGGGGGAGGGGGGTTGACGAAAATCTTTCAAGTGAAGAGAGTTGCTTCAGGTACACTACCCAGAAAACTTTAATTAAAAATTTGTCCAGGTATTTGCTCGCTCCCTATCTTGAAATCCGCAGAGATGGCACCCCACAATCCTGATCAACTTCCATTGAAGTCAATGTGAATTTCTATGGGATTTAAATGTTCATAAAATCATAACTTCTATCCTTCACGAAGATTTCGCGCGATTCAAATTTTGTCTAAAAGCGTAAAACATGTAGTTTCCAAAACTCCTCTGGGAACTCTCTAACATGCTCAGGTTGCAGAGATAGAAATGAAAGAACGAGATCATCCGAAATCCGAAATTTTTAAGCAAAAATTCTAAAAATTTAGGAACTGTGCGACAAAATCAGAACAGCCATCCTGTTAAGTTTTCTTTTATCACTAACTGAGTCAAGTTTGTGCTGATCGAGCTCTTCTTTTAAAAGTTATGATTTTTAAAAAAAATGCCGAAAAAACAATTTCCTAAAAATTCTTAAGAGATCGATTTCTCGGCATTTTTTTTTCAAAAAATCATAGCTTTTGAAAGAAGAGCTCGATCAGCACAAACTTGACTCAGTTATCAATAAAATATAAGAGAGCTCAGGATGATGGCTGTTCTGGATTTTATCGCACAGTCCCAAATTCTTAGAATTTTTGCTCAAAAATTCCGAATTTCGGATGATCTCGTTCTTTCATTTTTATCTCTGCAACCTGAGCATTGGGAAGTCTGCAGGGGACCCTTGGAAACTACATACTTTACGTCAGATAAAATTTGAACTGCGCAAAATCGTTGTGAGGGAAAGAAGTTATGATTTTTTGAAAATGGTGCGACAGAACTTTCGGTTCAACCTAATATTATCATTTACGAGCGAAAAACAAGTCGCTTTCTTTCTATCAAAACTCATGCCTATTCCGAAACTCTCGCCCACCTCTTCCCAGATTAGAGAACTTTCGGAAGTAAGCTACGTGAATGAAATTACGCAAGTGACTTGTTCTCTTTTGTAAAGAAAATTTTGAATTTTCGATCTCTTAAAAAAATTGTTGGACCGCCTCTGGTATGTAGGTATATAGCAGAGGCCAATATTAACCTTTGTTTGCGAGTATTTCCATATACATGATACGAACGGAATCAGTTTTTGTGTTACCGTTCACCTAGTTTTGAACTCGCCTGGCTGCCATAGTGAAAACTTGAATGCAAACAGATTCAAATTCATTCACTCCGACCGGCTGTGACCATAAATTGCGCAACTTTGAAGGCAGCAGCTCTGCAGAATGACAACTTTGGAATATTCATTATTCTGACTCCTTTGGATGAGATGAGTCTGAATCTGTGCTTTGCAGCTTCTAAAGATAGTATTAACTCTATTACTCGCTCAGATAGCACTTTTCACCTATGGAAAGGAGGGTTATTGATATATTTTAGTGCTGCAAAGCACAGACTTAGCTCATCCAGGGGATCCGAGAACGACAAATATCTCAATGTTATTATTCTGCCAAGCCGCTGCCTTTGAGTTGCGAAATGTTATGACACGTGCTGTTCACATGATTATTTTGTCTCTCAAATCTGTGACTTCTGAGAGCATAAAACGGAAATTCTTTCTTTCAGATCCTCAAATCAAGATCTCTGAGGAGCTACTACTGACAACGTGCCCAGGATCGAAAGAATCGCAGCCGGAGCAGACAGAGTCAAGCCACTAACCAGCTCGCTATAGTATGCTTTAGGATACTCCCCCTGGAATCTCACTGTTAAAATTTTGGGTAAGTGGACCAAAAGTGCAAAGATTAAAGATTTATTGATTGCATTGATTTTCAGTGTATATACAAATCATGTGATATCGAGACGATCCAGACAATGATTAGTGCTATGCGAGAAGGTCAATCGGCGATTTATTCGTCGGCACCCATGTTGACGATGGATTTAAATCTATCAAAATATCTGTAATAGGCTTATTTAGATGATGCTCGGGTTCTGTTTCGCCTTTTTCGCAAAATTCCTTTCTATGTTATTGATGAAATTATATTCAACTTTATAATCACCCTAATAAACAATTTGAAAAAATTACCTTCATCTGATGAAGCGGGAACTACCGGCTCCACGTCTATTATGTCTGTTACGATCGTGATGGGAACCTATATATTATATCACCGTAATCGATAATGCAGGTGTAAATATGACGATTTAAAATAACGAACACTCAAAGACGCAATCACGTAGTTGTATGCCCGTCCAACTGAGATTTTCAATAAATATGAAGTCCTCATAAGGCCCGGAACCTCCATATTTGGTGGCAGAGCTGGCACGTTGAACGAAGGTCGGAACGTATAAGTTTCGCCCACGGCAATCTTACGCTTCGAGGTTGGCAGACCGACACCTAAATGGGGTAAAATTTACAAAGTAACAAACAATAAATCTATTCAATATGTGAAGGTTTGAGCTAAGCCTTTCTATGCAGAAACATCTGGTAATAGCCAAGAATAAAAATTAGGGCGCTTCCTCAGAGCAAATGATTATTTTTGTACCTTCTTGCATGGTTAGGTCGCTTAAGCTTTGATGTGGATTACGGTAGTTTAATCGAGTAAAGAAATAGGAATCGCTTGCTCAAAATTGGCATTGTATTCCTGGTATTCTTATGTTTTTATCTTAAATTTTTTGTGATTATCCCCAGATAGTTTCTGCGATCTCAGAGCCAAAATCGCTGTATAATTTGATGTGGGTTACGAAATTGAATGTGATTTTGTTTTTTCATAAGCGGGTATATATTGTAAACCCTTGATTCAACTGGACTGGCGGCTGGAAGGAGGGGCTTCGAGGCCTAATTAAGGCTAAGGAATGATCAGAACGCACGTTGACGAGAGAGACGCAGACTGCATCGCGGGTGCAAGCGGTCGCGTTCCAGCTGCCAATCCAGTTGAATCAAACGCTACACGGTTGGCTCAAAAGTCAAAGCCATTGTTGGAGGACGGGTTACGGTAAGTGATTGATAATGGCCATGTCCTTTTATAATGACAAAGCTCCAGAATCAAACTACTTTGTAATGTAAGCTCATTTACTGTAAGTAATGCGCTTACTTCTTCCATGAAGTAATTCATCTTTCTTTTCACCCACTTTTACTCGTCAAAAAAACACAAAAATAAGAGGCGAAATACCTGATAAGAGATTTGGTAGCAAAAAAATTCGCATCTTTCTTAGTGCAGGTTCAATTTTGTGCGTACAATGGGGTAGGTTACGGTAGTTGATGTATAATTTCCTGCCTTAACCACTAATTTATCAATTTCTCTTCAGCTTTTCTTATTTCGCAAAAAATGGTATGAGGACTGTTCCAAAGAATCTGTTCGCTAAAAATGAGCGTTTTTCTTGTCTTTCTTACATAATTACTGAAACTTCGTCCAGAAAGTTACATACGGTAGTCAGAGTTACGGTAATTGATGTAGTAATCTCCTTCCATAACACTATCGATTTTTTCCTTGTTTATGTTTTCGACTGTAACATTTGTCGAAGCAGGATCATCGGATCGCCAATGCGAGGGTGTTAATATGCGGGCAACGGACAACGCTGTTCATGCAAATCAAAATTCAAAACATATTTCGCAAATGTTTGATTAGAACTTGCGGGCACGTGGGCCTGTTGGCTTATTCTGATTGATGATTGAATTAGCAATGTGCTTAGTTGTACTTTGAAGAGTTCAAAAAGATTTCTAGTACCCCTTCGCTATGTAAGGATCTCTCCACTGAAGAATCGTGAAACAATTTGCACTTTTAAGTATGTTGCAGTATTCAAGAAAGAAATAAGGGTGATCCCATTTCCTCGCTACTCCAAAATCATTAGTAGTAACCCTTTTACGTTGTGAATTCCTTCATATTAAGAATTCGTGGAGTAACTTGCACTTCTTGGGCCATTTGAGAAATAGTCGTAACGGTACGAAAGGGAAAGATCTTAATCTAGCACATAGAAAGCAGTTTTTACGCAGCACACATTCTTATCAGGAATGGTAATAATCTTCCGGAAACTCGCAGTTGTAAGACCAAGATTGTAATTGTAAGACCAAGATTACCTCAGTCTTGCTATTTTAGCTCAGTGTTCACAAAAACCTATTAAGGAGATGAATTGGTAGCTTCAGTCTCCATACTGAGGAAGTTCTATTTCGATAAAGAATTCTGGGTAAACTTTTCGGTTAGGATCTTGAGACTTTGTTTGAAATTGAAAGTGGTAGTAATCGGAGGATACAGTTTCAGCCTCAATTGAGTCGTGATGAGCTTTTGTTATGCGTACAATCTCGAAAGTATCACCACAGTTTCATTGTTCAAGCATGGAAATCCTAAAAAAGCCTCAAAATCTGGAACTAAATTGAGTCTGAAGTTATCAGACAAACTGCATATTGCATCTTTACATAAGCCTTCAAAACTTATTCTATGACATTTTGATTGCAATTTGGTTGATTGACCCGAAAGGCAAACTATTTCTCTAATTTATGGAAGAAAGACCAAACTTTGAATGACTCTGGTCTTCAAAGTTTGAAACTTTAAATCCTATGAAGAGTGTAAGGAAGTCGATTTTTCTTACTACTACATTTCTGAATTTTAACTTACTTTTGAGCTCAATGAATGCGACTTCCAATTCCTGTTACAAATCTGTTTTCCAAATTTTCCAAAGTTATTTCCAAGAAAAATTATAAGGATTTGTTCCTAAAGGATATCCTTTTTAAGTTTTCTTGGATTCTTGCCAGAATATTCTCGGCAGCTCTCGCGCTCTCGATCATCTCCTGCGATACAGGCGGCAATCCTCTGGTTTCTCCTGCACCAACCCGAGTGATAGCTTCCTCTTTGATTCATCCTGACCATAAGAAGGCACCGTCTACCCTAAGTTATGGCAGCTTACGATAGTAGGGCCGCCTATTAACCCATTGACGACGACGCCTAATTCTGCATGGCGGCGCTGCGGGACGACGCGATCTTGCACAAAACTTTCGGCTTGGGAAAGTTTTGTGATTATTTACGAGATGTAAAGTTGTTTTCTAAACAACTACAATCATTTTCTTGGACGGCGAAGTCTACAAGTTCCAAGAGTGCAAAAAATTGGGAGAATGAATTGTGGAAAAAATACTAGACTTGAAAAGGATACGATTTCGCAAGGAGTGTTGACCACGGGTGGTCCACATCGTCATTGGCGGCAGGAAATGTGTGGGCCACCGGTGGTACACATCGTCGTCAATGGGTTAAGCCAATGCCAACGCCCAAGGCGGCGCAAAATTCGTTTCGAAAGCAAGAAAATCGCCCATCCAAACACTGTTCCGGAGAACCGGCCTGCGGATTTTTCAGAACGAGGATTATCGGAGTTTCCGCGAGTTCTCGACTTCATATTTGGACAGAGACATGAAAAGACCCCGAAACGATGTTGGGAATCTGGGTGGACGGTGCCTTTAATTCGTAATTTAACGAGCATGTGTAGTCGGAGGTCGCAAATACCCCTACGGACCCAGAAAAGTGTACGAATCATACACTGTTAAGACTTGAAATCGAATTTAGCTATGTACGATATTTAGCAGAAAAATTCAACAAAAAAGTACCTATTTGGAATTTAGACTTCGCCTTACTTTTTAAGAAGTTTTCTGTGCTACACAACAAAATCACGCACTCTATCCTATTTACAGTACTTGGCGCATTTTACTCTACCAAACCAAATCTTGACAACCATTTTCATGAATTTCATGAAAAGTACAGATGGAAACAAACCTGTAGTGTCCATGAATACGGTATTCGTTTCGCCTACAGTTCGATCTGTTTCTGACGCTCCTACTACTTCAATTTTACGGACAATATTCATATGTACATATTTTATCGACTGTTTCCATCTGAATAATCACTGTATTGGATTCGCGCAACATACAATAAAAGTACAGTATACTGTACCTATTAGCTATCGTTACAGAAGCTTCTAATCGTCCAGTTGGTGAATACATTGTCTGATCGAGAGCACATTCTATGTACAAGCTGCGATTTCTGGAACATTTCGGATTACGGGTATTTTCTTCACAGTGAGAACACCCTAATGAATGCTAACTTTGGTAATGGAAAACATCGAGAATGAACGACTTTCTGACTTCCCACTGGTTTGGCTACCATTTGTGGAGAAAGTATTGAAATCGGTTGCTCTTGTTGAAATACTATTTTGTCTTCAACGTGAAGCGTCACCTAGAAAGTAGAATTTAAAAATATCTCAAACAAAGGACAACAATGAATGAAAAAATAACTAAAGTCTGAGAAGACTTCTTATGTAATTATAAGGTCACTTACACGGCAAATTATAGCCTCGAGAGGTTTATGAGCCCAAGTGAACGTGGATCACAATTTTTTTCAGTCCCCATATAAATAACTCGTTCGACTGACTTTTTGTTTTGCTTATTTTTTATTCATTGTTCTCCTTTGTTCAAGATAGTTTTGTATTCGAAGCAATGGCATCTGCTCTCCAGCTGTTGAGATAGAAGGCAATCTTTTTTTTTTGGGAGAATGTGTCACCAAGCAGTAAAATGTAACAAGACACGAAAAACAAGACAAATTCGTGTGATGCTCTTTGCTGTGAATATGCAAATTATGCTAATTTTTTGTTTACTGTGTGTAGTAAAATTGGCAACGAAATTGTAAACACATATCAGTTAAGCATTGCTTTGAGACAAGCTAAACAAAAGAACACGCAGGGTCAATGCACGCTCGCAGATCGAAGATCGCTTTAAGCATATCAAAGGATGTTACCCATTTTCAGCTTTTTAGAAATTGCTCTTGTAAAGACTATTGAGAGCGCATTCTTCAAGGAACCATACCATTAGGTTGGCTGGAAAATAATCCACATTATACTTGCAAATACGAAACTTTATAACTATTTGGGGTAGCTATTGAGCAAGGATCACTCTTAGAAAACCACTATTAAAAATTTACTGTCATTTATAAGTTACAGTCATGCCCTTATATACGGCTAGCCTTGTAAAAAATAATTTTTTTGAGTTTCTGTGTTTAGAGTTTAGGTTTTTTTGAGTTTTTGTGTTTGTTTGTCCGCCCATAGTGAGCAGATGAGTATGATTACACGAAACAAGCTTTGACTATATGGTAACCACAAATGTGACCTGCGGTTTGTGAACTTATTTAGCCGAAATGTTTCCTGGCATTGTGCTGGTAAATCGATTTTGGGCAGTCCAAATCGCTTAAGTTTGATCATCTACGGTCATGTAAATGGTTGGATTTATCAGAATACCTTTGTAAGCAATTGAATATGATTGCGTATAAGATTCCAGTGCTTTATTTCAAGAGTTACGAACCCTTTTATAAACTCATAAAAATTTCTACAGTCTCCTACAATCTGCAATGCATAAAGAAGGCTTTCTTAAGAGTTCCGTTCACACTTCGATCTTTCTCAAAAAGAAAGAAACAAAGTGAGCAGACAATTCGTGACGCAAAGAGTTATGTTTAGAAGAAATTAAGAAACTCACCGATATAAAGTATTTTACTTGCACTGGACTTCCAGAACAGTTGAATGAAGTAGCGAGATCGTATGGTAATTGAAATGAAAATCGAAATTGTGATTTACCAGTCAGATAACCCGTCTTACAATGATTCTGCAAAGAAGGGTTCTAAAGCCCGACAGGCTGATATTTACCATCTTACCGCATTCATATCAACTGTCGACATATCCAACAATTCGTGAAGGGTACTGTAGTGCCATAACTCCTTCTCCTCATTTACAAATACTCGATGATTTTTGAAGGAGTTGTAATCCTAAAATAAAGTTCCATGCATTAGTTTTGGAAAATTTTGGGTAGATTCAATATGCAGTCTCAGAAACATTACCCTAGCTGTCAGACATCTTCAACTTTTCAAATTATTTTATCTCATCGTTTTTATTAAAAACGGCACCATTTACATCGGAAGGATATTTATAGAAAATTTTTTGATTTGTCAGATGCAGAATTTACGGGGCTACGAGGCCAACTCCTTTTTCCCCAATTCTCAATTTTTTCTTCGGTACTCTAAAGATATGCTTTGTGGTTGCATAAATTTTATTCAAATTAGGAAATGTCTTCAGATGATTCACAAATTTGTACTAGAAATGGCCGGAATACATCCTTACTCACTAAATTGCCCACTAAGACAAGTTCTATACTATTTTCAAAAATTTGCAAAATCAGTGGTTTAAAAAGTGAGAGTAATCTCCATATAACTGAAATAAATAAATTCATTTCTTTATGTAAGCTGTAATATGCCATGTACATGTATGTAGAGTAATACCTCAAAACGAACCTTATTTGTAAAATTAATATTGATATCTCCAAATAGGCGTGCGCGAACGCTATCCACTGCAATTGCTTTTGGAGTGACGATAAAAACAGAGCCCTGAAAAATACAGATATTACAGATATTTAGAGTTAAGCAGTAGAATTAGAACTGGTAGATTTTGATTTTAGCTTTTGTAGTAAACTTCTGCAACAAATTCTATTGATTCATTCCGAAATTTTAGCTTTCTTCAAAGGGGCGCCACATAAGATGGAACAAAGTTATTTAGTAGGTTTAGAAGCACTCGATGCAGCATTTCATCCTCTTTTTAACGCCTGTTAAAGCATTGCAGCACTGAATGAGCTCTTGGAAAATCGCCAAAATCTGCGACCCATGCATTTCAGATGCTCAAGTTTCACAATTTTTCTAAATTTTTATATCAATCCTTCGAAGGAGACCAAGTAACAAATGCATAGAGAAACTCCAGGAAAGAGAACAACTTTTCCTTCCCAGACTTCTAAAATGACATTATGATCTAACACTGATTTTACAAAGCAAAGAAGAATTTACGGAATCGAAACATTTAATTTCGAATTTTTCGGGTACAGCCCGGGGCGCATTCGGAAACATGAATTATGATGATAACCTCGAGGACTCCACGAAGCAATAACAAACAACGCTCATCAGAAAAAAAATTAGAAAAAGCTGCATCGGATGAAACCTAATCCGCTCACCGTGATGTTCTGCGAGGTTTGAGCTGATTAAGTATGGAAATTGATGACATCAATTGAATTTCCATCAAAAAATATAACGAGCTATGGAAGGAGGAAAAAATTATTTTGTATCCTGTAGAGTTTGCTTTATCCGCCCGAACATGAACTCTCTCAGAGACTGATATAAAATTTCAGAAAAATGTGTAACTTGAGCACCCCAAAAAGGTCGCAGATTTTAGTATATTTTAAGAGACATTAGTTCTGCTCCGCTGCCACTGCAGCCCTTAGGAAAAGGTTGAAAGCTGCATCTCATGCTACCAAGATCTCCCAGAAAACCTTATTCTATCAATGGCGCCCCTTTAGAAAAAGCGAAATTACTTTTGGATTGACCTGATTATAAAATTCTCTGCGTTTAAAAGAATAGCCCTTTCTACAGACCTTGCTTTTTCTACAACTGTTCCTTTGAAGTGAGAAATTCGCTGTTATTCGCTGTTAAGATGCGTCAGTTGAAAAAATGCATTTTCTACTTATCACACATGCATAAAAACTTTATACTGCTCGCAATAAAACTTCGCGTGAAATCAACGATAGCATCGATCAAAGAAAAAATATGAGCGTTGGCAAATTGTTCGTTAATTTTTACTTTCTTGAAACGGACACAGACCAGAATTGTGCTATCTTTTTCACATTCAATTTTTTACAGTATGGTCCACATGAAAAGTGACGCAAAAAATGCGCATAATTCTGCTCAAAACGATTCAAATTTCAAACAATTGACTTTGACAACAATGATTCTGCATAGGACTTCTGTCTTTTACATTAATTTAATCACTTTCCTAAAATTTCTAGGATGCACCTTATTATTTTTGGTAAGTTCAATGGATTTGCCTTATCTGGTAATTCTCGAAGGGCAAATTATGCACTTTCTAGCAGCGTTTTTCGTAGATCCTAGCCAGTAGAGAAACTTGAATTTTGTATTTTTTAAAACTCTTCAACATACTCTCCTTCCTCTGAAGTAAAATCATAATAAGAAGGAAAACTATGAGGAAAACGGATTATTTATTGTAAAGTAAAAAATAATACAATGAAAGATTTAAAAAATGAATTTTTGGAAGACCGTCACGCTACATGCGGACCAGCCTGTAGGCAGATTATACCGCGATGTCCATAGAATTTTCTCGAATGAAAATTAACTTTTTTCCAGAAATGTGTATAGCTCCTAAGAACTATACATACTGCATATACCAAGAAGCCACAAGCTCAAGCAGGTTTTAAACGTCTTGACAAAATTTTCTTTCTCGCAAAAGTGAGAAAACAGAAAAGACTTTTGGTTCAAAGAAAATTTTGCATCAAATTGTCATATTTTCGTATACTTTGAAGAATAAAATTATATTTTTATTACAAATTTTGGAAGACAAAAGACGAGATTGTTTTGGAATGTGCTTGCACTAAATATTTTTCATATTTTTCATAAATATTTAGCCTATGATTGTGTTGTAGCTTCTTTCGACCAACATCACTATTTCTCAGCTTAACTCGTATTTGAATAAAAACTTTCGAAAAGATAAAACAGAGATAAAATACAACGGGAGGAATTTAATCTGACAAGCTCCATGAACAAAAAATAATCCGTAACGTTCCTACTGTAATGACTAATAACTCTGGGTTTAGCGTTGTCATACCACTATCTATGGCTGCAGTAGGAATTCCTAATCTAGCAAATACGCTTAACTTCTTTCCCAAATTCTCACGTACTTCCTAGTCATTTTTGTTTATGTTAGCTTAAATCCTTTAAGCCATATTAGGCATTCGGTTTTCCACTGCCCAAACACTCCGCATCCGTTGAACAAATATTTTGAAGTAAGTTCCACGTGTTTAACTTACCGTCACTGACTGACCGGGCACATAGACGGCTTTGTCTGTGTAAACTTCGAGACGAATGCTCTCCATTGAGGAAAAAAAATGTAGACCACTGTAATTAAAATTTGAAAGGAAAATGACGTGAATCAGCTGATAAAGACCGCTAACTACATAATAGAAAGTATTGTTCACCTGTGCAGTACTTGCAATGAGTGAGCTGAACAGTGAAAACTCAAATCCTGAAAATTGAACTCATGCAGCGAGAAAACGCACGCTTATCTGGAGATCTGTGAACGATAGTTATCTAAAGGAACGGTAAACGGAGAAGGTACGAAAAGCCGAAGCGGAAGTCGAGAAAAAGAAGTGTGGAAACAACATTCGCAAATTCAACTCAAAATAAAATCAGTTCAAAATATTTCAATTTTCTAGAAGCAGTTCAGGAGGTCCGTCCGCGAAAGGAACAAGGAACGAGTAAGATCTACTCCCCTTGAGTTTTCCATAACGACGTCTTTCATCATCTCCTATAGCTATAAGGTGCAGAGAAGGTCTTAGAGTACATAACATGCTGCCTAAGAAAAGGAGCCTCAAAAAATAGTTTTCTCCGGACAGGTCGGTCCATAAGACTGATCTAAAAATCTTTGAAAAATAGCTTTTCAATAAAATTGATCAATTATGCACACTTACGTAAGGAAGAATAAGTCTTGCGCTTTTTAGTAATACGCAAAGACAAATTGTTGGCATATCAGCACGGCACATCTGAAGAAAAAATTCCTGATTTTTTTCAATTACTAATCACAGAAATTGCTAAAAGTCCAATATAATTTGTTTTTTTTTTCAAAGTTCTTGAGCTTGCTCTCTTATAAGTCTGAAAAATTTGAATTGTTTGTCCCTAAAAATATTCATGATTTTGAAGTTTTTAATTGAAATTTTGATATTATTCACAGTAAAATTTAGAACGGAACACGTACAATATGTAAAGGAAGATAAAATGTAGTAAGCGCTTATCCCAAACATGCAAACAGTTTCAAAACGAAAATTCCCTAATTTCCGGTGCAAGACCCATGGACCAAAGCTCTCAATACGAGATATTCGCACTGTTCGATGTTTTTGCGGACACTCAATATTTTTTGATTTGACTTTTGTTTGGGAAAGCTCTAAGGTATTCAAGACAGAAGGCGTACTAGTGTAAGTGAAGGAAGCATAACATGTAGGCAAAACTTTTTTTGATCCCGAACCTCAAAATTTTTGTTACAAAGCCCCACTGACTAGACTAACTTGCTATCCAGCTTTCATGCTATCCATGAGAAAGAGAAAAGAGAAAATGATAGTGGGGAGGAAAGTTATGTTATATTTGCTACTCATGACTTATGTTCAGACAACGAATACGTATGATCAGCGAGTACTATAGTCGCATCTATAAAAGATTTTCATATGCGCCACCCGCCGACTTCTATTTGCATACTGGGGTAAATTTATGCGAAGAACTATGATGTTGGCATAAATGCATTGCACTTTACAAGCGGCTAAAGTCCAATAAGGACTCAGGAGTTTAATCTCTATGAAACTATGTCGCTTTTGTAGGATTGAAATTTGATCTTTTAGCAAAGATTTGCTTTTTTCGGAAAGTTGAGTGGTATTTTAAAAATTCCTTTCAAGCAAGTTGGACAGTAACAGTCATACAATGTCCATTCTTTGGGTTCCGAATTCAGAATTTTTTAAAAGCTTCCAAAGGTTCCAAAAGCAAAATATACTGATTTCTCCACACATCGTTTGTATTACTGTTTTTTACAATGATTTTTATCATAGGGTAGTTTTAATTGAGAAAAAAATCTAAACTACTATATCTTAATCGCTATTTTGATTACGATTTGTTTATTTTATCTTTCCAAAACTGAACACACAAAGAGAAAAAGGCCACTTGGCTAAATCCCACTGTTACTCAATAGTCACAATCGTCCCCTTCATCATCATTCAAAGTCAAAATCTTTTCGAACTTCTGCAATAAGGCATTGTTGAAAAAAGTGAATAGAATTTTTGTATTTTTGTGGGCACAGTAATCCCTTGGGCGATTTTAGTCAATTCAACTTACCCTCTACCGTATACCTACCACATTCGTGCAAAAAACGCCGTTTGCAAAAAGTATGATTATCCTAATTTTCGAGTAACCTCCACAGATCAAGTTTGAGAAGAATACATCAATGCGTTCTTATACCTAACGAAGTAAAATCCGTGACGCACTACGGCTGCAATGTGTGCAATGAAATATAATGGTTTATGAAAAATCTATAGTGGGCATTTGTCACTAAAAACGTGATTGCAGATCGCGCGCGTCACCCCACGTCTAGTTCACTGGTAAACAGCAAGTAAAATCATTGCAGACTAACAAGCCGGTTTAAAACAACTATTATATTTACAACTAATTATCCCTGTTTACGATAAAGGAGAGAAAAGTCGGAAACTCTTCTGGCCTTTAAAAGGTAAGCTCATAAGCGTAAAATATTACACGTGTTGTGCAATACAAGCATCAGTCTACAAGTATGGATTGTGCTTGGCAATATAAACACTGGTTGTTTGCGGCATCAGTTCTCTTATCCGTTACCTGATAGTGTCAAATCATCGAATAGATCCTTCAAAAGAGATGAAGACTTCCCTAAGAGCTTTAGTCTTTTTTGCTGCCTCCAAAAACAAATCCGATTACACGAATGGGTTGTTTTAAACGCGTGACTTTAATCCGTAAAATACGACCATTGACAATCACAACATAACCTCTATAATAAGATTAACGCTTAAAGAACATCGTACCCGTTGAACTTTCTCTCGAACACACGTAAGTGAACTATAGAAACCAGATCGCGAGCGATAATCTCGCGAGTTCGGATGAAACACAAGCGCTGCAGGTCGTTTGTTAATGGAATTAGAGTTCCTAGTTTTTCCTCTTAATTGAAACCGCAATTGTGAAAAAAGTCTAAAGTCAATTAGCCTTCGGAAAAATTCAAAGTCTCGTTAGTTTAAGCGTAAAATGAGAAAAGCCCAAAAATTTAAAGACTTCAGAGGTTCCCCTCTCAAGTCGAGAATGAGTCGAAAGATTTTTGAAACGGTTAAAGTGAGTCATGGAATCCTCCAAAAGAATGATTGTTTCTGCTGATCGAAGTATTTCGTAAATTATCTGAAAAATGAAGATAGCTTTACTTTGTGATCCTGCCGCTACGCTTCCTTTCTCCAAAAAACCACAGAAATTTTACACACTAACCTTCTTTGCCTCTAAAGATTAATTGTTGAGCTGACCTTTATGAACTGAGAACAGGAAGAGGAAGCGAGGAAGTTTTGAGAAAGAATCGGAGAAAATAAATATTTTTTTGAGTCAATTAGAAATTGTAATTGAATAATGGTGATGATGTATCAGGAAAAATGTAAAGAAACCGAATAAAAGGATGGCTTAGATTGAAGTTCGTGAATAATGGTGTAAGGCTCAAAAAATCATATACAAATGAAAAATCTGGAAACTCAACTGTTAGAAAGTAAATTTACTAAATCAGCACATTTCTGGGATACTTTGGACCTTCCTTATCCTATGAGCATGTTAACAAAAGTTGAAAACTACAACTTGCTTGTTCTCAGTGATCAGCTTCAATGCTTTGGTATGCCAGCAGTGTCTGTTTTTGCATTAGGTGCAACTAACAAACGAATATCTTCCTCGCTCTACAATTACTGAGTTGAAAGAGTCCATCAAAACTAGAGATCAAATTCAAAAAATTTCGTGCAAGAAGCAAGTCAAACAGCGACAGAATAGCTATTTGGTAAAGGAAAAATATGCTATGACATATTCAGTGCTTCATATATAGAGAATTCCAAATTGAATCATGGCCGATAACAGTTAAATGATTCCATTATGAAATTCAAATCTTGTTGAGTCATCGAAATGAAGTTGATTAAGAAAGATTTGAGAGAATGTAACTACAAAGGTAGAAGTTATAATTGATAAAAACACAGATTAGAGAACATTGGAAATAAGTGAGTTATCTGCCAGAAGATTCGAACAAAAAATAGTTCAAAAATTTCAAATTTGCGCTGCGTCAGTGACCTTGTCCCGGAAGCAGATGTTACTACATTCTGCTAACCTACATTTGCAATTAAATCCCTTTCCATTTCGGTGACTCATCAGCTTTAGAAGCTTTGGGAACTGGAAATGTAATAACATCGCATACCGAGATTTCTTCTTTGTCAGAACAAAATGTATGGGTGGGCGATAGTATCCGTAAATGCAAATATGTAAATTTCTTCTCACTAACTTTTATAAAACTGCATTTATGGCATCAATCATGTATTTGTCCCCATCTCCAACCCTGATGTCGCCTTGTCACTTTAGCACCAAATAGTTTTCGGAGCACAATATTTGGAAGTCGGCTTTCGCACCACATTCCAGAAGGATACCATTTTCAACGCAAATCGAAGCTCTCTGTTTCATAAATCACGACCTTAGACATATAAAGAGCTGGAATAAAGCAAAGTTGTTCCAAAAAGGCTCTGAAACTGTAGAGAAACAATTTTGAGGTTCAATGTGCAAGAGACTCCGATTCAATCCAACTGCTTACACAGACCCATTTGTTATTACACAAATGCCGATTATATGTAAACCATGCACTAATGATTTACGGTGTCGCGGCTATAATAGTTACCATAGTTTATCAAGTAATTTCGGCAAAAGATTAGTTTTTCTTTCGCAAGTGAAAAGAGTAAAACCAACAGTGCTGAACGAGCGCATGGCCGAAAACTAAGCTGATGGGAGATGATGAAGCTCTACCTACATTATCAGTGCTAAGAAAACATACTGAAAACGAAAAAATGGTGGAAAAAACTCTATGATTTCTATTCGTGGCAGTAAGCTGAAAAGAACATTTGTGCTCATTGGATGACTGAATGAGTGAGAAGAGAAGAACATGGTCAAGTTTATTGCCCAACTTGTTTCGGACAAACCTACTCTATATATTTATACAACCTCTTGATCATGTCAGATCTAGTCCCAAAGTCTTCCCGAGATATTCCTCACAGCCTTGCAAATAACTCTAGCTATCTCAATGTATTATTTTAGAGGAATAAGAGTGAAGAAAAAAGAGAAAATGCATCAGCTATTTTACAAAAGATGTTTAAGATTTTGGGGGGCAGAAGCTTTTATGACAAGAAGCAGGGGGACGGTCGAGGAGCTTGGAGAAAGAAGGATTGTGAATGACAAGAATTTTCCAAAAGAAAATCGAGTTCTGTTAAAACAAAGAAAAATTTCTACGTGCATTGCAAATCTAGCAATTTTTTATCTGCTACTTCCGGCGCGTTGAGAAATATACAGATAAAATGATGACTTATCAGAAAGACATACATAAAGAACGATGATGTGACTAAATTAACACAGAGATTCACTTATTGGCTCTAAATCGGATCATTTCTGTGCAAAAAAAATCCTCAAATTTGTGCTCTGACCGCTGACTAAACTTATGCTCTCAAGGAGAGCTCATCGAATAGAACGAAGCTGTAAATTTGGAGTTCCGAAGTATATATTAGGTTGTCCCAAAAGTAAACTCCATTTTTAGATAATTTGAGCTGTTTTTTTTTGACAGATTTAGGGTACCATTCGGTAGAGCGCAGCAAGCTTTATAAAAAGACTACCAAAGTTCCGCCTACTTCGTAACTTAGGTAAATTTTGGAGCCAAAAATCAAGATTTTCTACCTTAAAATTCGGATCTCCTTTCAGAAAATTCCTACGG